ACCTACGGCGTAACACTGAAGTCACTGAAAAATACTCACCACTACACACAGATCATTTCTCAATATATATAAATATTATTAATTGAACAATACTATTTGATGAACAATAATAACCATTATACAAGCATAGGAAGTTTGCAGAATAGGAAATAGACAAGCAAACAATTCAGAATTTAAGTTAAATAAAAATACAAAGTTATGAAGCTGAGCACTCAGCCAAAATGACTTGCCCAGTAACAAATAACAGATTCATTAAACCAAAGATTGCCTGTTAGATATACCCCAAATTAATTATATATCTCATGTTTAACCACTATACAGAGTAATCATAACCAACAGCGAATGTCAGAAGGACTTGCCGATATAAGGCTGTTCTCAGAGAGATACATGAGCACTGACTGCATGGTGATAACCCAGACTTCACAACTCCAAAAATGTCAGAGCAAATTTTCAAATAGGTGCTATCTTCATAAACTGCAGATTTGAGGTTTAAACAACTACATTTTGACCTGAAAACAACAACAAAAAATCTTAAAATTACATTCTGTGAAACAACAACAGTAGTATTTCAAAAATTATAGTGGGTTTTCTCCACCATGACCACACTCTGGGAGAAATGCTGGATGTCTAGAACACACAGACACACACAGTCCAAGTGCTGATACTGGTTCAAACCACAAAAAATAATGTTATTAAATAGGGGAAAATAAATTTTTATTTATGAGACGGGAATATGAATCTTCGTTTAAGAAGTCTTTTAACAGACACAATGAACTCCTCAGTCATGAATGTGTAGATTATAGGGTTAAGCATTGGAGGAAGTGCAGAAGTCAGAGAAAGATTAATGATCCTTGTGTTCGTGTTAATAAAGGGCCAAAATGCATATGTAAAAGTGATGGGTACATAAAATATAGCCACTAATATTAAATGAGCAGAACATGTCTTTGTGGCTCTTTGACGGTCTTGTGGGGTTGTGATTTTGAACAATGTCACAGCTATGCATGTATATGAAAAGATAATAAAAGCTACTGGAAACCCAAGGATGATTGCTGGGAACACACTGGCTATCACAGAGCTTAGGAAATTATTGTTACAAGCTGAACGATATATTGGCCCATGGTCACAGTAGAAACTGTTAACAGTGACAATAAATTTGCAGAACGAAAGTCTGCTCATGAAATTTACTCCAATGATTGTTAATAATAGTACTAGTGTCCATGAAGCACCAATTATAACAAGCATTAATCTGTGGGTCACAATCATATGATACCTCAGTGGTAATGAAATAG